TATATATATATATATATATATATACATATATATATATATATATATATATATATATATATATATATAATCTCTTTTAAAATGAATAAGAGACTCGTCGTTCGGTCTCTTTATTTTGTTTTATTCAATAAATGGAAATATTTTTAACATAGTCTACAAATTTATTAATCAATATATTAAGAAAATAACTTTTAGGTATTATCTTCTTTTTTTGTATTTTTAAAATTGTAAAATTTTGTTTGCACAATTATAAATGAATTGGTTTTTAAAGAAGTTACATTAGATAATAACTTAAAAGGATGGTTACACATTTTAAATTATTCTTAAATTTGTAGTATTAGAAGTATCATAATTTTGAAATATAATAATACTAATATTAATTCAAATAATAATACTAATAGTAATAATAATACTTATATTTTTATTGATTATAGTACTAATAATAATAATAATAATATTAATATTAATATCACTTATCTACTAATATCATTATTCATTAGTTAGGATTACTAATACTAAATATTCATAAGGTAAAAATGTTTACGAGTACAAAATAGGTCAATTAATGTCGTTTTAACTCGGTTTATTTTTTTGTTGGTTCAAAATGACTCAACAAAAAAAGTCAAAAAATGTAACTTGTCTTACCACAGATGAATTGTCACCACTTTTTTCCTTTAAAATATATGTATATATATTAAAAACATATTTAATCATATAAATACTTTTTAAAGTTTTAGTTGATTAATTAATATTTTTAATTGAATAAATTAAAATAACTATTATATTTACATGTTAAACTACTTTATTATAATTAATAATCTAAACATAATTTGTAAGTGCTAAACATTTTAATATTTTAAATTATTTTTATTTTAATTTTGAATTAAAAAAGGATCAATAGGTTGGGACGAGTTGATCCGTCTTTAACATGATAATTACGATGATAAATAAGTCGGATCTAAATCAAATCGACGAGATTAAAATTTTTAATATGATCTACTTTATTTAGATTATTAACGGGATGATCCACAATCTACAATGCATTTTTTATCTCGTAAAAATATAATATTAATGTTAATTATAATGCTAATGTTAATATAATAATAATATCATTAAAAACAACAATAATAATATTAGTATTAATAATATTAATACTAATAACACTAATAATAATAATAAATATAGTAATAATAATAATAGTATTTATACGAATACTGATTTTTACTACTACTAATGATAATATTTATCATAACACTAATAATAATAATACCACCACTAATACTAATAATAATAATAATAATAATGAAATATTAATAATCAAAGTACTTTTAATGGATAAATGGAATTCAGTTCTTATTGTTATTGCATGTCTAAACTTGCTATTATCATGATTGTGTGACAATGATGAAAAGAAAAACATATGATATTGAAAAATAAATAAATAAATATATATATATATATATATATATAGGGGTTTGCTAACGCGCGTATGCCTGTTTTTCAGTTGGTACATTTTAGCAATGTGTACCGGATTTTAGTAGACAAAAATACTCTTATATATCATGGATTCAAGTTTTAAGGTTAAGGGTATTTTAATAATTTTCATTCTCAAAACTTAAAAAAGAAAAAAAGAAACCCCCAAACCCTTGCTCACCTCTCTCATTCCTCTCAATCCTTTCTCTTTCATCTCTCTCACTCCAACCTTTTCTTTGTCATCCCTATAGCCCTAATTGAAAAAATCAGAAACACTTGCCTTTAAACAATTTGTCTTTCTAAAGAGTTGAGTCATTGACATATTCACCTTGAGGCAAAGGTTCATTCAAGATCTCTTCAATTTCACCATCTTCACCAATTCTTTCGGATGTCATTTAGATAAAATTAGATAAGACAAAAATTATAAAATAAAAACTCATTATAAAATCATTTTTTGTAAGAAATTGTTTAACAACAAATATTTCTGATTTTTTCCAGGTCAATTACCAATTCCTTTATGCTTGTGAAAATTGGATAAAATTAGATAAGACAAAAAATATAAGATCAAAACTCATTATAAAATCATTTTTTTGTAAGATTGTTTAATGGCAAGTGTTTCTGATTTTTTCAATTGGGGCTACAGTAGGGTGTTTCTGATTTTTTCAATTGGGGCTACAGTAGGGATGACAGAGAAAAGATTGGAGTGAGAAAGATGAAAGAGAAAGGGTTGACAGGAATGAGAGAGGTGAGTAAGGGTTTGGGGGTTTCTTTTTTTTTTTTTTAGTTTTGAGAATGAAAATTATTAAAATACCCTTAACCTTAGAACTTAGAATCCATGGTATATAAGGATATTTTTGTCTACTAAAATCCGGTACACAGCTAAAATGTACTAACTGAAAAACAGGCGTACGCGCGTTAGCAAACCCCTATACCCCATATATATATATATATATATATATATATATATAATTTTTCTAAAAATTATATGGATTTGTCTCATTTGAACTTGTTAACCAAAACTTTCGTACAACAATATGGTAGGTAGTAATATGATCTTACAATCATTGTTAACCATGGCTAATCCTATGATAGAATCATATTTACCTTTTTTATTTCATCTCATGTCACAAAGAAATTTTTATGTTATTCCTGGGTCTTGACTACAATGGCGACCACCCTTAGCCATTAATATGCTAATTCGCCTCATTAAAAAAACATTATTTATAAACACTTCTCTTTTAAGTTTACATTTTCTTCCCTGAGCATTAACATTTTACAAATTATGCATTTAAAGTTTAAAATATTCGTATAAGACTTTTTCCTTATATTGTTTCGACTGGAACTATAAAATATTAATTGAATCTGTTAGCTATATTCATTATGATTTAAATCACATAAGATTTTACGATTTTATATTGTATTTTCGATTCCAATCTCCCGCGTGTTCGTTGCATAAACAAATTGTTAGGATCATCAAATAAAATTAAAATTGTATGAATTATCGTCTTTTCTAAATAATCCATTATACCACTCATTTATCTTATTGGTGAATCAAGTTAAAACAAAATTTAAACCTAATTTAAAATTAATATTAATGAAAAAATTCATATATTATCCCGCAACACCATCAAATTAAAAAATTAAAAATTAATGTAATTAATTATTTTTCTACTTCAACACCAATTCCGTTTTTGAAAAATGGAATTTTAATTAAAAAATTAAATGTTTTCTATTGCACTTTTTAACTGCTTGACTCAATGAGTTTGAACTAAAATAAAATTCATTTAAAGAATTCTTCCGTCCTTGACCCAAATCCTATTAAATGTAAAATTAAGAATATCAAAACATATTATCTACTATTGATTTTAATATATATATATATATATATATATATATATATATATATATATATATAAACGTAATTTCTATTTTAAGAAGTTAGTGAATGACATGTAAAAAGATAAAATCTACTCAAATTCGTTATACACAAGAACAATGTATGATATACTAAGACCCATTGAAGAATCCTTCAACTACACGTATCTTCGCCTTTTTGTAATCAAGTAACAAGTAAAGCACTAACTAAACCTCTCACTAAGAATTTTCCTAAAATCAAATTCAAAACCAAGATCACTCTCAGAAGGGTAAAACACGTACATTAAAAAAAATTATTAACATTTAAACGAACCAAATTATTATCTCTAGTAATTTTTTATTCCACCCTACGTGTATTTTTAAATTATAAAAATAAATAGGTTTAAAGAGAAAAAGGAAAGGACCCTATACATATTTTATTTTACAGATTTATTTACAGATAAAATAACATTTTATTCAGTTTTTCAACAAAAAGAAACAAATAAACAGGGCATAAGCAGAAAACATCATCGAGTTCATCACGTGATGGAGAAACAGCAAAAATACGTCAGTAACAAATGCTCTATCAGACAGATTAGAAATAATCACTTCTATTTTAAAGCTTGAGAAAATATTTTTCGGAAACAATATTCCCAAATATGTCCTGGATTTTTTGTTTATGTGACTCGATCAGAAGACATACTGGTACATGAATTCTCGTTAGTGATGCCTCAAGACACCATCCCTGTTTTTCTTTTTCAGGTTTTCCCTAATATTAAGGGACAAACAAGTGTTTTGTAGAAGTAAATATCCATCTGCAGAGGGAGATTGGCATATGCAACTTGACCTAATCAAGTTGAAGTTGAGCGAACAAAGGTGCAATGCAGGGAGTATATTTTATAGACAGACAGGCGAAAGCGCTCGCAACAGTTGAGACAAAAAGAGGATATGGCATTAAGTACCATCTCTACATAAACTTATCATGGTTGAGCTAATTTTGCCAAAATAACCAAGTCTAAAATCTTGACATCCAACGTGTCATCTACCTTTACAATTCCATCAGTACCATCTACACCAATCAACTTGCCAGTGGCACCACGTAATGCCCCACCCATAATCTTTATTTTGTCTGATTTTCTTGGTACCACAGCCTCCATTTCATTCGGAAGGGCGGTAATCGTTTCACCATTACCACTAGATCCAAGAGCTACCTTGTACGAGCCATCCTGAAGAAACAAAAAAGAAGCTATCGTCATTAGACGGAAATCAAGTAAATGGAATGAGAATACAGCTTCATTTAGTTTGGCATATATTGTCTCAACTTGGAGATCCACTCGTACAAATATAAAAGCAAGTTACTAGGTCACCATACCGGAAGAACCTCTCTTATAACTCCAACAGATTCGTCTCCGGCCCTGTGTACATTGACTAATATATCTGGTATAAACCATGGGCCTTCATTGTCCCCACCTACAACAAATATGTACATTATAACATTTTAAGGATGATCCAACTGAATTAAGCACAAGTAAAATGACAGACAATATGCTAAATGCGGAGTAATAATCATCTTCATAGTATATGCAACATAACAAGTGAAAAATAACAAAGAAAGTAAAACCAATGAGACGCCTAGCTAGTTGTCCTTCATTTGAAGGACCAAACCCATGAGATATTTTACTATCATATATGAAGAAAGTTAGGTAGATCAGTTTGATTGTGACCAAATAGACAGCTGAATAGATAAGCAACAAAAATCAATTAAATTTGTCTGTCATAAGATTGACAACAAACTTACCTAAAACTGGAGACATCATGTCCATACCACCTGTGCCTGGAGTCATGGGCTGTCCTCCAGGAGTGCCTGGAAGATAAGATGCTGAACTTGGTGTCATAGGCTGCCCAGGTGTTGATGGTAAATACGGGCTTGGAGCATTAGCTGCAAAAAATACAACATCCATCCCCAGAAAAGTATTAGCACAAAAGTAAAAATGTACATACTATTTTTTTGAAAGGGCAGGAAGTAGTGCTACCATAGGCAGAACTGTCCCGAGGTGTTCCAGCTTCACTATAATTTCCACCAGGTGTGCTAGCCCAACCAGCACCAGGAGTCGGGGCTTCATATGGTCGTGATGGAGGGCTTCCAGGCTGAAAAGATCAAAAAGGGAAAAGAAAATAAACACAGTGCCTAATATGAAGTTGCATATAGTATCTGAAGTTTGCTAAATCTCCTAACCTGATACTGTGGACTTGCTCCCCAAGAGCCTGGATTTCCATCTTCCCAGTTGTCCCTAATTTTATTTTTCACCATCAGAATTCATACATCACATATATACTAACTAAATAGTGCCGCAGACTCTATGGAGATAACAATGTTTCTAACTAACAAATTCCTTATAACCCTCTAGTTCTAGTTGTTCTATTTGGAATATTAATGTCCACATGGAAATTTATTAACTAAGACATTATTTTTACCATATACAAATTGGAAGAAAGAAATCTTTTTATTAAAGCAAAAATTATGTGAAACAAAAATCAGAGAACAGTATATAAAACTCAACAAGGAACCATGTTAATTGGACAAACCTTGGAGGACTCATTGGAGTATATGGATTCCATGCTCGGTCACGCATAGGTGTCCTCATTCCATCATGAATAGGTGTTGCTATAAATAGTAGTACATTATAACCATCGGTCAACAGAACAAGTTAGAGTGTTAATCCTATCAGATGATTATATGAAAATTTATTACAATAAAATCAAACAAACCTCCAGGATCTCTCATTGGAGTCATATATGGGTGTAGGGGAGTCCGAGAAGGATGCATTGGGGTTTCACTTCCCATTCCATAGCGAGATGTATCACTGGAAGAACACAAAAAAAGTTAGACGATTGAACATCTTTCATTGAATACTTGGAAACTTAAATTACATTTGCATAAAACTCACCGATATGGAGTTATAGCAACATTGTCAGATATATGGTTGCGGTCAACTGCAAATCACCAAGTAAGCAACCATGAAAATACCAAAATACATACACTACAGGTTTTTCTTCACAAAGACTTACCTGTTACAACCTTCATTTGAGATTCAAGCTCAACACGAACTGAAGTGCCTTTATCATCTATAACACGACCACGATAACCTTTATATGGACCCTGACGCACTTTAACAGTTGTACCTTCCAAACCGTCATGCCCCCTCCCACCCCTATGTCTCCCTCCAGCTATATCACATCCAAATAAATTAACATCAATCAAGTTACTTAAGGAAATGTACAACAAATTGATAGACTGGTTCCACATAAAACATGAAGAATAAAAAGAGACATACAATCCATTGGCCCTCCACGAGGAAACCTCCTTGGGGATGGTGGAATACGACTTGGGCTTCTAAGAGTGGGAAATCTTGAGTAGGCATCACCCTAGTGGAAGGAATGAAATTTTATGCAAAATATTATCACAGTGCTAAAACCAATAGCAAAACATTCACAAAAAATAAAATAGGAAAATTGGTTACATTTCTGTCACCACTGGAGCGTGAACCCCCCACTACCACACATGATTGGGCCTTAGTACATATAAAGCCTGCTTGTTCAAGATGATGGCGATCAAAGATGAACAATATTCCCCTATATATGTGTTCCACAGGACCTTGTTTCCCCTAGCCAGAAAAAACAAACAAATAAATAAATATAAAAATATTATCTTTCAAAGGTAAATCTAGCCAAAAGACAGAATCTCACTTTACTGGAACCATCAACAATCCGGACAACATCCTTTGATGAAACTGTATTCTTATACCTATCTTGCTCACTTATTTTCTTATCTATCTTACATTTGATCTCTCTTAATTTAACCAGCACAACTTCGTGTCTGTCAGGAATCCCCTTTAGAACCTAAAATAGCAATAGACATTAATATAATAACAAACTCAAAAATTTAATAAAGAAAATTTTAAATCCTAGAGCCACTGACCTGAAATGCCTCACTTTCTACACGTATTATTACACCAAAGCTCATATTACTGCACATATTAAATAGAAAATAGAAATGAGAAAACATTGAACTATATCTCAAGGGTTAAGTGAATATGCAATAATCTCAAGCAAAGCTTACTCAAGCAATACAAGATCACGGAGTTCATAGTCCCCAATTCTAGTAACTCCAGTCGTTACTTCTGAACTTTCTACAACATCATCTGCAAATACTCGAATCTAAAGAGAGGATATTTTAATATCATTTATGCAGTAAATATAATTAGAAAATAGAAATTAACAAATCTTTAGACCACAAAACTCACATGCTCTTTTGTTGTATCGGATATCAAAATCAAGACATGCTGCTCGACCTTCACAACCATGCCCGTAGCCCCTTCTTGAGCACCAGAAACAACCTTGACGTGGTTTCCAGGCTCAAAATATTTACAAAGCTCCTTTTCATTTATAGCAATAGTTTTCTGAAAAAAATAATGATGACCAGTTAATCATTAATCATCAAAATGCAAAAATGGCACCATACAAGGATATTCATACTTACGGGAAGTTCCTTTATTTCTGGTCTTATATGGACGTTATCTTCATCCACCTTCTCCACCTTTCCCTTAAGTTTCTTTAAATCACCCTTTACAACAATGATGGCGTCACCTTTCATAAAGTGTCCTTTCTTCCTGTTCGCAAACAAAGTTGAAAGACTAGAAACATCACCATCTCCACTCTCTTTACGAAATTTGTCCAACTCATCAAGAATAGGTTTGATGTTCTGAGTACGGATGGATTTTATTGAGACAGCTTTGTATAAGAAACCATCTTTGAACATCATGCCCCCAATTGCATCAAAACGTTCACCATATGGGTCTCGTCGATGCTCCACACGGATATGCAGTTCCCTAAATAAAAAGAACAAATTTAATCAGATCAAAAACAAATTTCCAATCCACAGAAGACTTTCAGCCACAGAATAGAGAGAACCAGTAATACCTTGCTTCATCAACATTCATAAATCGAGGGGGAGGAACAAAAGCCTTCTTTTTCACAACCTCCCTACCTTCCTGCATGACACGAGTCATATGTATAAAAAAATATAAAAAAATAGACGCAGGCTATTCCTTCCAAAGAATTTAAACACTAGACAAATAGAATACATTAATTTAACAAAAAACTATGACATCGCTTACCAATTTATTTGCAAGAGCTTGTAGGTCTATCCTTGGAATTAATTTGACAGTAACCCTCTGCCTCACATTATCAACATCCACTACCTACAGAAGACATTTGATGTTAATACAGAAAACAAAATGTAGGGTATCATGAATTTTCTAAAATGTGATACATACTTTGGCAAGGTCCCCTTTATATGTCCCGATCTTCATTCTAACCCAAGTATCTCTAGCAAGATCAATTGCTTTGCTTTCAACTGACAGAACATCAGTCATTTCTCTGATTGGGACAAGAGTTATTTTTTGGCCAAATATATTGAGTAGACCTTTGCAAGCCTGGAAGCATATACATAATAATTACAAAACACAATTTAATCTATACAGACATGGCTATTTATGAACCAGACGTTTTGCATGACATTACCTCTCTTACATGGGCTTCTTTATCTGCTTCCACGTATATATAGTTTTTTAGATGATCAAGAGCAATAGCTGATCTTATTTGCAATTCAGATCCTCTATCTATGTACTTTTGCATGAGGCAAACGGCTGTTTCTCTTTCACGTCCAATCTAATGCGAAAACAAAGAATACATGACATGCTCCAATAATGTTGCAAGAAAAAGGGATATTTACACAAAAAAAAAAAAGATATGGACATACTGCACATTTGACCATCCAAAGCTTTGGATCTCTCACAGACGGCAAAAGAGCTTGTTGTTCTACATCTGTTGTTTCTTCATCATAATCCGTTAGGCGCCTTCCATAACGTTCCTGGATGCTTCTGGCCACAGCTTCAAGATCTTCATGATCTTCTTGGTGATGTGGCAGCATTCGCCTATTCCGCATCCTCCTCCCATCATCTTCTTCTGGTAGATCGGCTCCACCCTCAACAATGAAGTCTGGATGTTTCAACAATTGTTAACTTGTCTACATAATATATTTTACACAAAGATAGAGTAGAGAGGATTCAAATGCTTTGGAGTTTGTTTTTGTAATTTAAGAAAAGTATGCATTACGTGCAACTTTACTGTTCTGTTAAGTTTGAGGATATAAAATACTATATGCACACATAAAACCATCACTGCAGTACGTATTTTCATCTTCTTTCGATAAATGTTTTCAGTTCAAATTTGATGTTCTATCACAAGCAAAACCATGAATAACAAAATTGATTCTCAGTTTCTTCAAGTTAAAAAATAGTCTTAATCTTCTAATTCCTCCGAAGAACCCACCACAAGAATACATGACTTCATTCTCATAACAATTAACAAATCACCTCAACAAAAGTAACTTTACATTCACAGTACATTCAATTAAACACAATTTATTGCAATAGCTCCTTCCATACCCAGTTTTTCCCTGGTCCTCAGTCAAATATGATCCAAAACATTGATTTGAATAGCAGACAATCCATACCATCGTTCAGCCAGGAAGGGATTGAATAATATATGCCTAATCAAGTTTAAAATCAACAACCACCACCTAAGGAAACCATAAATCCAAAGTTCCAACCCTAATTTCATACATGCCGAGTTCATATCCAATCATCCAAATCAGAAACAAAAATTAGCAGAGAAAAAAGAAAAAAAATACACACCGTCCTCGCCTTCTTCCTCTTCCTCTTCCTCGTCGCTATCCACCACGGCCTCCTCGTCAAAAAAATTAGAAGCGGAAACCTTCTTGTATTGGCGCCTGCGACCCCCTCGGGCATCGAAATCCTCATCATCGTCATCCTCCTCCTCCTCATCCTCATCTACCTCCTCAGCGTCATCGTCAATAAAACCAGATCTTCTGCGCTTCCTACTGCCGCCACCGCGCCCCCGGCGGTCATCCTCTTCGTCGAAGTCTGCGACCTGCTCGTCTTCCATATAATCGTCATCGTCGTCGTCGTCGCGGTCCATTCCCCGGTGACTCATGCCGCAAAGACAAACCCTAAACTTTGCACTCTTATTCTCTCAGCCCTCTGTTCTTCTGGACTTCCAATATTATCTGTTTTTCTGCATATTTTTCTTTGTTAGTATAGGTTTTGCTTGTTCGTTATATATTTTGGGACAAAAACATTATAATTAAAAGAAAGAACAAGAAAAAATAATTTATTTTCATTTTTTTCAGGTGTCATATAATATTTTTTCATATATTAGTATATTAAAATATCTAATGTGTTAATATTATTATATATTTTTTTATTATTTATAGTTATATATATAGAAAGAATTCTTCATTACAAATATAGTTATCTCATGTATTAAATATTTGGTTAATAATATATCTGAATGGTAAAACTCTCAACTACTATAAATTTATTTTCCTTAATATCAAATCTATAATCCAATAAAAGTATATATGTTTTCATAGAAAAAACTCAACATAAACCTGATGTATCCTCGTCGTCATCATGCAGAACATATTTTAATACATATGTCAAATACATTAACTTTTAAGAAAATTAAAATCAAATACTAGAGCTTTGTTATACTCTAAAAACACCACAAATCTTTTCTTACACTAATGTTTTCTCCAACTCATTTGCCTCTCTTCTAAAAAACATTCTCTCTTTCTATCTCTTTCTTTTTCTCTCATTTTAAATTTGTATCTCCTTTCCTAATTATCAGAGTTTCTATATAAATAAGAGATATCTACTATATTAACTTTATCTTTAACTTAATTAATTATGATAAGTTCCTAACAAATTCTATCTTAATATTATTATTCTAATTTATTATAATAAGTCTATCAATAATATATTATTATTATTATTATTATTATTATCTAATTATAATATCTAAGTACATCAAATAATATCTTAAGATATCTTTTTATTAACAATATCTCATAATATCTTTTAAAATATCTACAATATCTAATCATATTTCTTTTAATCTTTAAACCTTGGTCAAATATTAGAGCTTTATCTATACTCCAAAAACACCACAAATCTTTCCTTGCACTAATGTTTACTGCAACTCTTTTGCCTCTATTCTAAAAAACATTCTCTCTTCCTATCTCTCTAATTTTGAGGTTTTAGGTTTCTATCCTCCTTTTCTAATCGCCAGAGTTTTTATATAAATAAGAGATGCTTATTATTTTAACTTTATCTTTAACTTAATTAATTATGATAAGTCCCTAGTAAATTCTATCTTAATATTATTATTCTAATTTATTATAATAAGTCTATCAATAATATATTATTATTATTATCTAATAATAATATCTAAGTACATCTAATTATATCTTAAGATATCTTTCTATTAACAATATCTCATAATATTTTTTAAAATATCTACAATATCTAATAATATTTCTTTTAATCTTTAAACCTACCAAGATTATATCTTCTATTTTCTTTCAACTACTTTTTAAAATAACAACAATTAAATTTTCTCAAAGATTTACGTAATATATTTTTATTAAATTTCCAGATTATTTAACTTGCATGTTTTTCCTTTCTACACCCCTATTTTAATTTATGCACCTAATTAATTAAAGATAAAAGATCATTTTGTCCCTAGACCAAAAATACAAATGAACACAAAGGTTTCTCTTAACTCCATTTCTCCCTAGAATTGAACTCATACTCATTAAATCCTAAATCATTCTCCATTAACAAGCCAACACATCACATTGATAATATCACGCACACACACAATCACTCAATTATCAACATACCTATCATGTGTTGCATTTTATTCATAATAACATCAAAGAAATAACATAATTATGTTCTAACAAAGATATTCACACACAACACCTTATTAGACATGTCAACTCTTAAAAGAAACATACTTAAGTCTTAACAAAATTTTATTCCTATAACCCCTACTTTCCCTGGGTCTTACACTTGTGCCTTCACTTGCGGAAGAATCTTCAAAAATTGTCACTGACCGAGCCTTTCGACTTTGACCATGTGAACGTGCAACGTTCATAAAGTAACTTTCTCTAGCAGGATTTTTTAATATATATTAGGTTTTTAACAACAATAATCCACATATTGAAAAAGACAAGAAAGAAAGATTGAAAGAAAGAAAAAAAGAAATTTTCTAGGTTTAATAAGATGTAATGCATCAGAGCTGCTATAACAAGCTATATGAACTAGTCCTAGATCAAAAAACTTAACATACAATATAGTTGGTATAACAAGCTATATGAATCAAGTACACTTAAAATGTGTTAAAGGTTTATCAATCACAATACACCCTCACAATCCTTTTTGTTATCGATATGTTGTGCTTATTAGGCTATGCCAAGATCTCATGCAAGCAGCTTCACTTGACACTTATATAGGTGATTTCATCAAGTTACATTGCAGATCTACAACATCAGTAAGGGATATGGAAATCATTATAAACTTTGTTTAAACTAAAATTCTTTCACCACATAGAATTTTAATTACAACATTTAACCTCTTAATCTCTAACACTTTCACACACACACACCATAGGAATAGACATAATTGATTAAATTAATTTAGTGCTACCATAACTAACAAGTGACTTATTTTTCATATATGAACCTTATGCATGGGATCTCCAATCACAAAGATTGGGTTGCCACCACTTGTTTGTTTGCAATTATTAAGTCTCATTCTCCTCGATGTTTCTAATATGATATTTCTTCCCAAGGGTTTTGTCAGAGAATATGCTAAATTTCATTTTGACTTCACATAATCAATGAAAATAGTTATACTCTTTAGCAACTACTTTACCAAATTGTGTTTCAATTGTATATGTTTGTTATTTCTATTGTAATTCTTGTTTTTAGCTATAGCTATTGTTGATTGACAATCATAGTGTATTGACACTGATGGGGTTTGTTTCATTCCTAGTGAAATGTTTGCTACGAGATTTTTCAACCACTCAGTCTCACTACCAGTTATATCAAGAGCAACAAATTCATATTCAATTGTTGATCTTGCAATAATTGTTTGCTTGGCTGATCTCTATGTAATCGCACCACCCCAAGTGTGATTACATAACCACTAGTAGAATTTGTCACATATGAATCAAAGATCCAGTTAGCATCAATATACCTTTTTAGTACAACGATAAATCCATTGTACTTAATGGCATGATCCATTGAACCTCTTAAGTATCTCATAAGTCTAGTAAGTGCATCTCAATATCCTTGATTTGGATATTGAGTGTACCTACTCAGTCTACCTACTAAATAAGCAATATCAAGTCTAAAAAAGCTCATCAAGTGTAGTATGCTCCCAATTATATGGGCATACTGAGGTTGAGAGATAGATTCTCCTATATTTTTCATTAATTTAGAGTTAGCATCATAAGGGGTACTTATAAGTTTGAAGTCATAATACCCAAACTTCTTAAGAAGTTTCTCAATGTATTGTTCTTAGGATAATATACTATCTCTCTTCTTTTATGATTTTAATACCTAAAATTACATTGGTTTCACCCATGTCTTTCATTTCAAAGTTCGATCCTAGAAACAATTTAGTTCTAACTACAATCTCATTGCATGTACCAAAAATTAACATGTCATGAACATACAAACATATAATGACACAATCACCATTTTCATATTTAAAGTACACACATCTATCAACATCATTAGGTGAAAAATCATCATATAACAATACATTTTCAAGTTTTTCATGCCATTATTTTGGTGCTTGTTTAAACCAATACAAAGATTTTAAAAGTTTGCATATTGTATTCTCTTGACCAAGTATAACACACCCTTCAGGTTGAGTCATATAAATTTCGTCCTCCAAATCACCATTCAAAAAGGCAGTTTTAACATCCATTTGGTGTATCACTAGCTTATGGATAACTGTTAAGGCTAACAATACTCGGATAGAGAAAATCATAGTCATAGGGGCAAAAGTGTCAAAATAATCTATGTTGGGTTTTTTAGTCAAATCTATTACTACTAATCTGGCCTTATACTTCTCTATAGATCCATCAAGGTGATACTTTTTCTTAAAGATCCCCTTACAACCAATGAGTTTTGCTCCTTTAAATAAATCTACTAAGGTCCAAGTATTATTTTTCTGAATTAATTCAATTTCAGTCTTAATGGCTTTATCCCACTATTTTGCTTCAAGAGCTAACTTCTACAAGGCTACTTGGATCATTATCAACTAGATAAGTATATAAATCATTACCAAAAGAAGTTTCCTTCCTGTCTTTTACTTCTTCTTAAATCCTCACACAAGGCATCATTATTATTATTATCAACTGGTTCAGATGTCTCACTAACCTTTAAAGGAAAAATATGTTAAAAAAACTCAACATTTTTTGTCTCTATTATAGAATTGCTCTCAAATATATCATTTTTAAGAACCAAAAACCTATAGGTAGCACTATGTTCATCATAGCCTAAGAACATGCAATAAGATCTTTTAGAGCTTATTTTTCTTTTTCTTAGGATTAGGTAACATTACCTTAGCTAGACACCTCCACACTCTTAGATATTTAAGGTTAGGTTGATAACCTTTCCATAACTCATAAGGAGTTTTACTAGTTTTCTTATGAGCTATTCTATTTTGTAAAATAGGCAGAGTAAGTAGGGTTTTCCCCCAAAGGTTATCAGGTGCACTAGAACTAAGAAGCATGACATTCATCATTTCTGTTGATAAGGGGAGCTATACCTACCCTATATATCTGTTTTTTATTATGAACAAAAGAATGATTTTATAGTTTCTTGCACAACAAATGACATAACAATTGTTTTATCTTTATTGTGTTTGTGCTTGATATATGAAATCATTATTTGTAAATGAATCATGAGTTAAACAAATTGAACACTTCATTTTCGGTAGAAATAATCGGTTAAGCAATGTATATAATCTGTTAGATTTCTCCAGATATCATTGTATGCTTAATAGGGGCAAACAATTGTGTAGTAATCGATTAAAACACGATGCTATGTCAATATGTGTTTGATTTGTGTGCTGATCTGTTTAAGAATGGAAATTGATTTGAAAATTTGCTTAATTATTGAACATAACTGATTACATAAGTTTCATAATCGGTTAAGTATGTTTCTCTTGTCAAAATCAATTTCATTTAAAGCCTGAACTGTTTCTAACGATCATATGAATTTATTGTTGGCTTGTATGAATTGTATGTGGATTGCATGCGTTGTATAATCTATTTAATCTAAATAGAAGAAAATATGTTAAAGCAGAAGGAAAAACTTAACATATTACATAAATTTTATAATCGATTAAATTGTGTCAAAATTCAAAAAATCTTATAAATAATTGTCTTGTGCGTTGTTTCAAACTAATATTTTGGCAATCAATTTCATAACTAACATTTTCATTGAGTTTTGATTACAAGAGCGTCCAAGAACTATCTCGAAGAATCAAGGATCAATTTAAGTTTCAAACACATCAAGATTCTATCAAGAAACTGGGCTGAATTTTTCTGATTGAATCTGCACTATTGGAGTGTACTTAGAATTTCAGTTTCATCATTTCCAATTTGTGAATTGTGTTCCTGTGTAGGTGTGCTAGGGGAAGAGAGCCGTGTGTGTTCTCATTGAGAGTTGTGATTGTTCTCAAGTTGTAAAGAGCTGTGAGTGTTCTCTGTTTGGTAAGATTGTGAGGATGTTCACATCTTTTTTCTATAGTGCTTTTGAGTGGGGTGTGAAGTACATTGAGAGGGGATAGCTTTGTATTCTTGTAACCCTATCAATATAGTGGAATCCCTTCAACTCAGGTTGTTGAAGAAAGACTGAATGTAGACTTTGTCGAACCAGTATAAATTGCTTGAGTTAATCATTCTCTATCCTTTCTATTTTATTGTTGATTCATCATTGTTGTTTTATTGATTTCAAGAAAAAAAATATTTTGCAAAGCTTTTGAAAATATCAATTTTTTAAGGCAAAATCCAATTCACTCCCTCTTGGTTTGAGATACAAGGCATCACTTTTCTAACAATTTTCTTAAGAGTTCTATTTTTTTTCTTGGCTACTCCATTAGACTCAGGTGAATATGGTGAGGTTACTTCATGAATAATATCTTCTCTAATACAAAATTCATTAAACAGAACATATTCACCACCTTTATATGTCTAATCCTCTTAATTTTCTTATTTCATTGATTTTCCACTTCTACTTTATAAGTTAAAAACACATCAAAGTTTTCATCTTTATGTTTGATTAAGTATACTTTGGTGTATCTAGAATAATAATCTATAACAGTTACAAAATAATTTTTACTGCTTCTAGACATGGTTTGTTTTAAATAAGCTAGATCAATATGAATTAAGCCTAAAAATTTCATTTGACGATCTATATGATAGTATATTTTCTTTGTTATTTTAGATTCTATACATATATCACATTTACTGCTCTGTTTAATATGTGTATTAATTAATCATAATCATTGTAATTTCATAACATATGAAGAATTCACATGTCCTAATCTAGTATGCCACCTATCATATGAATCAACAATATAAATAGAAGAACAAGATTTCATTCATATTTTCGAAAATGTTAGTACAAAGTGACCTTGAGCACAATATCTCTTCCCCCACAAAACATTATTTTTTGTCATTACAATCTTGTCAGACTCAAATGACTCTTTAACCCCACTTTTTCCAATAGTGCTACAGAGATTAAATTAACTCTGATTGATGACACATGTAGCATATCACTTAAGGCCATAGTCTTTCCAGATATGAGCTTGAGAATAACTTTTCCTTTTCCTAGAACATGAGTGGTCCTGAAATCACCAAGGTCATCCCCTACACTAGAGTAAGAGAAAAAGGCACTTTTGTTTGCATAGATATGTCTGGTAGCACCAAAGTCTACCACCCATTTGCTCACATTGTTCATCAAATTTACTTGAGAAACGACGACAATAATAATGTCATCTCCTTCGACTATATTTGGCCTATAAGGATTGGTTTTTCTTGCTCTACGTCTGCACTATGGTGCATGATGACCAGACTTTCCACATACAAAGCAATTTCCTTTTTTCTTAAAGGTGGGGTTAGATCCGTTTGGATGAGATTTTCGAAAATAATTTGTTTCTATTATGATCAGGTTTGTGTTCATACTTTTTTTAGCAGGTTTGTCTTCTACCATATTTGTTTTTGTAGACAAAGCTTTGACCTTGTAGTAGCACACTCTTTCCTGTTGGTATCTTCAATAATTATGTCCATGAAGAGCTCTGAATGTGACATTTGCTTGTGTCTGTGTTTCAGTCAATGTTTCTAATCAGTCCAAGATGGTGACAATTTCTCAATCAGAAGTTTTGAAATAAATTCATCCGGTAGAAGAATGTTCTCACTTTGATATCTTCAAGCAGTTTGTGGTACTCATTTATTTGTGACTTTATGGCCTTACCTTCAATAATTTTCCAACGATAATAATTTTGAATAACGAACCTTTGTTTGACTATATCTTCAACATTATATTTGAGAATCAACAAATCCCAAATGTCTTTTACTTCTTTATAGGAACAATATACATCGAAAAATTCATTAGATAGCACACTAAGTAACATATGTCAGCACACGTTCTTGCTAGTGTCAAAAGTTCTGACCAGAAAAGACTTCGATTTTCGATACATCCAAAAAATGTTTAGCCAATATAATCTAAGTTCCAAAAATAATGTTCTGATTCTCGAGGTTTGAGTTGTTGATGTCAACCATAAGTTCTTAAGATTATTGTAGAAAAGCTAACAAAAAACACGAACAAAATTTTTTCGAAACGTGTAAATCACTGTTTTTAAAGACTTATATGTAATGTGTTGTGCAAGTCTTCCTTTTCAAAAATTCTAAAAATATCAGAACTAGTAAATAAGACTCCTTTAAAAAAAAAAAAGGAGAAAAAGTACCGAGAATGTTATAAAGGTAGATATAATAAATGAGAGAGTGAAAGAGTGAAAGAGTGAGAGAAGAAAATAGAATATAAAAGACTCCTGCGTGAGAGAGGAGTGCATTAGGGATTTTCCTTACTTCAAAATGGGAAAGCATGAACTCTTAGAGTTGGAACCAGCCTCAAAAATTATAACTTGGGAAAAATTCGTGCAAGACGCGCTCGTCAAAAACCGTTTTCAACAAATAAAAAAAAAGTTAAGATAAAATCTGTGCATTCACTTGCGGAAGAATTTTCTGAAACTATCACTGATCGAGCCTTTTGATTTTGACCACGCATTGTTGATAAAGTAACTTTCTCTTGCAGACTTTTATGGTATATATTATATTTTTGACAACATCTTTTACCGTGATTTGTTATCTTTTATAAAAATTAATTAATTAATTAATATTAGAATATTAAGAAAGTAGATAGATATTGTAATTTTTTTTATAAATAAATATGAAATAATGGAACTGTCTTTGTCTCTTCGGTGTGCAACACAACGTTAAGAAAAATTGTAAAGTATATCACTTATTTTTTTTTTTTTATATCCATGTTGTATAACACGTGTTAGGCTAGAAATAGATACTTAGTTAGCTAAGAGGAAATAACAAGTTCATGAGCACAATAGCACCGTGTCCACAAAATTATTAAAGCTCAGTATCCTTATTTGGACCTCAGCTTCTGCATTAACCTTTCCATCAGAAATCAGTTTCTACGAATTTCTTTAATCTTGTATTCTGAGCTGCCCAAATTCTTTCCCCTTTTCAGTTTCACCCTCTAGTAACAACTCAGCACATAAACCTTCGTGGACATGGCAACAGCCTTGTCCACGACCAGTGTGCTATGCTGGAGGAATCCGCAGAACCTGCACGTCATGCCCTCTTCACATACACCTTGTTATTCCTCACAGCAAATTGGGATTTTAAGAACTGTGGCTGCTTTAGCCTCAGAAGGCAGAGAAAGTGAGAAGTTCTCCTCTTTGTTGGTGACCAGAAGAACAGTTTTGGCTTCTGGGGTTTCCTTGCTGGGTTTCCCGGGTGAGAGTTTGGCCGTGGTGAAACAAGGCCTTCTTGCTGGGAGAATTCCTGGTCTGTCCGAACCAGATGAACAAGGTTCGTTCACTTTGGATTATAATAAATAATTTGTTTGCACAGTCCATTCTGCGATGACTACACTATGCTATCTGTAGACTGTAGTGTCCCAAAGTAAATGAATTTGTGATGTAGCAATGCAGGCAGATAAATGTGCATACAAACCATAAGAAAGCAATTTTTTAATGTAAGCCGTGATAAAGGAAATGTACTCCGTCGTATGATAAAGATGCCTTGGACGTAGAGTGTCAAAATTTGTTGTAAATGATAAAACTATAACAGAAGCGCCAATCGGTCCAACACTGGTTTAATCCTAATAGGAGTGGCAAAAAGTTTCAGTCTACCAGTTATCAAATGGCCCGGTCCTTCTAGGAAAGAAAAATAAATATCTCTTCCACTTTTAGAGCTATACATACAGTTGATGCTTAATTCTTAACTTGATTTCATACATGTTTTTTAAGTTAGAATTCCAATTGTCTCTTCTGTTATAGATTTTAAATGAAAGTGAGATAACGTAGGCAAGGATTTGATCAGACAGGTTGGAGGACATATCGCAGGCCAGATGAGAAGTCTGGTGGACATGGTGTTGGATGGAGTCCTATTATCCCATACTCCTTCAGAGTGCCTCAAGAATGGGAAGAGGTGATGCTTTACAAGTTAGAGTTGGAAAAAATCACTAGAAGATTTCTTTTCTATCTCATCCAGTCACACGTATTGAAAAGTTTTAAATATACCAGTGGAAATTCCTTAGAACTCATCAACGAAATAACTCCCATGTCTCTCTTTTTTGTGCGAGCAGTTTACTTCTCTTTTAATCTGAAAGATCTGTTACAACATATGTTCATCTAGAGGACATTTTATCTTTTGTTTTCTTCAGCTCCATGGTTTCTGTATACTTCAGCCAGCATATATATGCTTAGCAGGTACCAGTATCAATAGCAGATCTTGGTGGCACAGAGATAGATTTGAGATTTGCCAGCTCTAAGGAAGGACGCTTGTTTGTCATTGTTGCTCCCGTTCTTCGATTTTCAGATGGTGAGTACTGAGTTTTGCTCATTTTTCTTTCTCAATCTCTGCTTTCTAGAGACATGGAGAATAAATTGAAACAGAAAGAACAGTGAAACCTCTAGGTTGAACTTCCATTTATGTGGTAATATATTTACTATAAATCTATACAGATCTTGGTGATAATGCTACAATAGAAAAAATTGGACCTCCAGAGAAAGTGATCAATGCATTTGGTCCAGAAGTAATCGGCGAAAATGTAGAAGGGAAGGTTCTGAGCTCTAATGTAGCAGAACATGAAGGAAGAAAGTATTACCAGTTTGAGCTAGAGCCTCCTCACATTTTCATTACTGCCACTGCAGCTGGCAATCGCTTATATTTGTTTGGCGTAACAGGCAGTGGTATGACTATTTATCCCCTTCTAAGTCATCTCACAAGTCTGAACAGCTAGAAAGCATATAAAGAAACTATGAAAACTAACAGAAAATAATATAATGTTGTCTCAACTCAATTGCAATTTGCAGGTCTTCAATGGAAGAGACACTACGATGATTTAAAGAAGATAGCTGAGTCTTTTCGGGTTGTATAATTTGAATCTTCAGTGAACCAAGAGATCGTTGAAATGAAACTTTCTGTATTTGTAGTTTAGTACAAAGAAGTGGTTGTTTCTCAATACTGTGTCTGATTGGGATTTATGTGGATCGAAAGATCATATATGTTGAATCTTTGAACCATCAATGTACCAAACCAGTTTTGTTACATTTGGTAAATGCTATGATTGAGAAGCTTGGATTTATAGTGAAGATTAAGAAGCTTGGTTACTTAATTTTCGAGAATTTAAAGTTTAAGAGGTAGGGTATTTGTTCTTGTTGAATATAGTAAAACTAAGTTAGGATTAATCTCCCTTATATAGAAAATACATATAGAATAATGTATTTATAATAATGAGAATGTAGGCTAAATCTAAATACAAATCAATATGTAAAAATAACATAATTAATATAGGAATTATATTTCTCTACTTAACATAAAACACAATATATCTAAGACTTCTAATCCTATGTCAGGGCATTGGCACATGTCTTAGTAGGGGCTTATCATAATATTTATGAATGATCTATCAATGAAGGACCACCAACAGAATGAATCAGTGATGTATTAGTAAAGCGCAATTCTTTCATCCTTTCTCAGACAACTCCTTGATAATAAGCACAAATCAAGTAGCTTCATAATGGAGGCAGAAACCACGGATTGATCTTGGCGCGGGGCTCACAGTACCAAAGCACTTTGCATCATTATTGCCAGTAGGCCAGTCTTATTTTGGTATTTCTCCTTTTTAGATTGCACTTAGGCCGTTCATTTCAATGTGGGGCTTCCTCACTTCAATCCACAATAGTCACTAAAGATGATTGAACTACACCCAGGTATCTTTTGAGATCCTCCATCTACCATGATTCTCCTCATCCTTTCAGCTTTCTCCCATTTTTCGGAAGTTGCATAAATATTGGACAAAAGAACATTGTGAGAATTAGCACCTGTAACAGAGTCTTCATGGATCAACTTCAGTACTTGTTCTGCCATGTTTACATCTGAATGAATACGGCATGCACCAAGCATTGCCCCTAAAACTATGTCGTTAGGTTTCACTGGCATTCTTACCATCAAGTCATAAGCATCTTTTAATCTCCCTGCTCTTCCCAAGAGGTCAACCATGCATCCATAATGCTTGATTCCTATTTCAATTGCATATCCCTCCATTTTGGATATTACTTCAAAAGCTTCACGGACCAAACCCCCATGAGCACACGCTGAAAGCAAAGTAAGAAAGGTGATACCATCAGGCCTTATATTTGAGTCCTCCATCCTGCCAAAAAACTCAAGAACCTCTCTGCATTTTCCATTGATGGCCAAACCTGAAATCATAGCATTCCAGCAGATGATGTTCCTCTCATTGAATCCTTCAAACACCAACCTTGCATTGACCAAGTCACCACATTTCGCATACATGTCAATCAATCCACTCAAAACAAACGGGTTCACAGCTATCCCTCTATGTTCTATCATGTGATGGATTTGCTTACCAACATCCAGGCTCCCCAGCTGCGAACAGGCAGATAAAACACTAACAACAGTGAACTCATCCGGCTCAAACCCTTCAGCTACCATTCCCTCAAAAGCTTGCAGTGCTTTCTCACAAAATCCATTCTGCACATAACCAGCAATCATGGAATTCCAAATCTCCAAATTCCGGACCAGAACCCGGCTGAAAACCGCCTCAGCCTCAGCAATATTGCCCTTCTTGCAGTACCCATAAAGCATAGATGACCACACAAAGCAATTCCTTTCAGGCATCAACTCAAAGATCCCCCTGGCAGCTTCCATCTCTCCTATTCTAGCATACCCATTAACCATCACAGTCCATATTAACACATCCTTCAACTCACGAGGAACCTCATCAAACAACCTCCGAGCGGTGACAATATCTCCATTCCTAGCAAACCCACCAATCATCTGACTCCAAGTCACTTGAGTTTTCCCTTGCATCTCCTCAAATACAAGAGAAGCAGATACTGTGTCTCCATTTCTCAAGTACCCACTGATCATGGCATTCCAAGTAACAACATTTCTTTCCGGCATTGTATCGAACAGTTTCCGTGCATCTCTGGTAGCGTCACATTTGGCATAACTTGTAAGCAATGCGGTTCCAATGATCACGTCGCTCCCTGAACCAGCCTTGATGGACTCTGCATGCAAGGTCTTCACGTAGTGAAGAAAGGGAAGAAAAGCGCATGCCTTGAGTAACAGAGGGACCACACTGGAGTCGTATAATCCTACGTGCCGGGTTTGTTTATACGCAAGAAGGGCACATCTCAATGATCCTTGCCGAATGTGGTTCCTTATTGAACAAGACCAATAAGATGGGTTGTTCTCCATGAGGCAAGGTTAAAGCTCATCATGGATCCACACAATTTGGCGTGTTAGCATGTTTATGTCAAAATTTTGACAAAAAGATGGATATAAGTGTTTCAACATCTTACGAAGGACTAAATTGCAGCTGCTATAATAATTTTAAAATTAAGAGTAACTATAATTCGTAGCAGTGGAAGACAGAAACTCGAGCAAAGGTGGTGCTCTGGTTTTTCTCCCATGTTTTTAGTAATAACAGCTCCCTTTTTTTCACTGAAAGTGTAACTGGACGGTGGATATTTAGGAACGATGGGATAAGTGCTTACAATTTTTTTCCCTTTTTTTGGCTACGCACGTTGTATCTATGTTAAAATTCTAACTTTAATTTTTTTTGTTGTATTATTTTTATATTTTACAGCAATTTTTTTATTTCTTTTGCATTGAGTGATATGTTAATATGTCGTTTCTTTACGTTTTTGCAAAGACGAAAAATCAAGGTAATATTGGAAGACCATATACAACCCTTGCATCTCCTACCTATCAACAATAATGGATTCTCGAAGAATGTTACGTACAGACTGCATCCAAGTATTTCTAACCTATTGTTACACGAGATGAGAAGAAAGGCACGAACTATTGTTTTTAATCTTGAGGTGCCTAAGCCGTTTACAAAATTTCTTTTAGATAGTTTGACAATATTAAATTTTTTTTATATTGTAACAAGCACAATTTCCTGGTGTCATTCTTGTGCTCACAAAACATTTTGACTAGAAACAATATTTTTTCTTTTCTATTAGAACCTCTTATTTGTCTTTTGTATTATATATTTTGGATTATATTTGATGAAGAGATCTAGTATATAGTTTTCATAAATAAATATAATTATTTAGTTTTTGGTTTATTTTATAAGAAATTGAAAGATTCACTAGTAAAAAAACAACTTTTAAAGGCGTCCAATACGCTTCGGTTTTAGAAAAACCGAAGCATATTCAAACGCGGTAGCGTTTTTGTAATTAATAAAAACTTATATGTTTCGGTTAACATGGAATTAGTGCCTGAAAGTGCTACTACCTCGGTTGTCTAAGCTACCCGAGGCATAAAACTGTCATGAAGGGGATATCGCCTCGACTCGACGCAGAACCGGTGTCTAAAGACGCTATTACTGCACCGGTTTTCAGTTCCTCATCTTCTCTCTCACTCAAATCTCCTTTTCAGTTCCTCTTCTTCTCTCTCACTCAGATCTCCTTCTCAGTTCCTCTTTTTCTCTCTTCTCTCTCGCTCAAATCTCAAAGGCACCACTCCGCTACTCCGCCGCTCCGCCTCTTCGTCGCCACCACTCCGTTGCTCCGCCGCCGCTCCGTTTTCGCTGCCCAAAGCCATGGCTGCATCCCACCCCGCAACCCCAACTCGTGACGCGATCTCAGATCTCACTCCACCAGCGGACGCGATCTCAGATCTCACTCCACCACCTAGTGCGGCCCGTGCCAGTGGTTGAGCCGCTGGCCTAGCACCCAGTCCAGCCCCCTTCTGGTGCCAGTGGTGGTCACGGAAAAGCGTCTCTGCGGTTGTTGGTCATCCGATTTGGGGGTTAGGGATTTCAATGGGGTTTTGACTGGATTTGGGGGTTAGGGATTTGAACGGGGTTTTGACTGGATTGGGGGTTAGGGATTTGAACGGGGTTCATGTATTGCTGATTCAAAAGCATTCATCTGTGATGAAGATAACAAGAAGAATCAATATGCTTGTTCCCTATTTTCTGATTCAATTTTTATTTCAATTTTTGGGTTTCTGAATCTGCTTGTTCATTGTTAATTTTTGAGTTTCTGCTTAATTTTTGGGTTTATGCCTGAGAGCTCCAGGAATAGAGGATCAGAGGCTAGTGAAAAAAAATTAAAAAACTAACACGTTACTACCTCGGTTACTAAAAAAACCGAGGCATAAATCCTATCTTTTTTAACCCAATTCACAACCGAGGCATAAAACTTATCCCTTTTTACCTCGCTGGTATATACTTCGTTTGTAGAACCGGTGCCTATAAGCAAAAGTAACCGGTGTTATATCCTCTTAGTGCACTAGTGATTGGAAAATATTAGAGAGATAAAGTTAGAAGTCACTTGTCTAACGAGACTTTGGCAATTCTAGTCTAGTCAAGAAGCCTGGTGAGTAGAACAAGCCAACATGTAAGAGAAGCTACCTTTCATCCGGTAAGATGATATTTTGGACTAGCGAGAAAGCATTTTTTTAATGGTTTAAAGTGTCAAAACTTGAATAAAAGAGTAGTTTTGGACTTGGGAATGCAGCTGAAGCTTAAGACACGGGTTGAGACACTTTTAAGGCTCAAGGACTCCATCTTCCTCCATCATTTTCTTTATTCCAATCCCCTCTTGTGTTCTAGATGTATAGGAGTAGCTAAACTCTATTTCATTAAGGTTGGATGTAATGTACCTAAACTCTTTGTAGTTCTTTCTATGCAATAGAATATCTTTCATTATTCTTGTGTTTTATCCTTTTTATTCACGTACATGATGGAATATCTATGCTATTTGAGTGGTGTTTAATCATTGAAAAATGTTTTAGAACATAGACATGGATAAAACGACCAAAAGGTTTGGTTATAGACATAGATCAAAGCTTTTGGTCTTTCTAGACAATTTTTCTTAATGTAAATCTTGTGTTTGAATATCTAAGGGGTTAGTATTTTTACATACACTACAAGAATAATTGATATTACTGACGGCCGTAGTTCATCGGTAATGTATCAAATCCGTCGGTAATTGTCGTTTACCGACGGCTTACCGACGGTCAAAATACCGTCAGTAAAAATGTTGTCGGTAACCTTTACCGACGGATATTTCAGCCGTCGGTAATTACCGTAGGCTTTTGTCCTTCGGTAAAGCCGTCG